GCTAGGCCCAGGCAATGCTGGACATTTTAACACCCAATAAATCCTTTTTGGAAGTTTTGGAAGTTTGGCTCGAGGCTCATGATTTAAATGGGGCAACTGCAGGAATCCTGACACCACCCCTGACTAAAAGGATTGTGGAGAATAGCTTGGGATTTGTGTTGTTGTGTTCTTAAGGGGAAAGAAGTTTGTTAGCCTACAAGGCAGTGTTTCCTTTTTCATAATTCTGGCTCATGGCTCCTTGTTTTGGCAGGGGTCGGATCAGTCACACAGGGTCCATCAAGCTCTCGGTGTACATGACTCTGTACACCATCACGCATGTTGTGCTGTTTATCTACGAGGCTGAGGTGAGTTCCCTTCCCGTTTCAGCTACGTACACTTTGAGGGCCACACAGATTTAGTTTGCATTTTTCTGCGTTCTGGTTATTTCCTAGATCACATGGTCTTTCCTGCCGTGGTTCCCAACTGCAAAAATAGTTGTTGTCTCCCGCCACCCCAGCAATGTGCTAGCACTCCTAACCACAAGAAGCTTGCGCGTCTTCTCAGCTTAGATGAGTCAGGAATTTGATTTAATGTAAATTCCCTGCCTAGTTTGTCTTGCAAATCGTCAAGAACCAACAAAGGAGAATTATTTATTAGCTCCGGGTTGAAATGAGAGAGCCTCGGTGCTCTCCGAGTGTGGTGATTTTTGCGCTGATGTTTTGTTACCAAATTAGGTGTCAACATCAGTGCTAGGAGGAAGTGGGGATTTGGGAGGAGGAGCGGACGTAGAAGCAAGAGGAAACTGTGGGGTCCTTGGCGGTCCCTGAGCTTGGACGTTTTCTTGCAGATGTTTTCATGACCCAACTAGGTAACATCATCCGTTTCAGAAGGGAGTGGGGTTTATAAACACAGAACAAACCTCACTCCCTTCTAGCACTGATGATGTTACCTGGTTGGATCGTGAAACGTCTGCAAGAAAATTATCAAGCTCTTAAGAGCACCAAGGTCATCCCGAACCATCAATAAATTAGGGTAAGGCTTAACTTTGTTGCACTTTGTTGCACAACTTCGTAGCACGAACTATAATTAGTGTCAACTAAAAAAATATCCCTTTGGTCTTTTTAATTGACAGCAGAAAGGGAGTGGGGGAAAGCAGTGAACTCCTTAAATGCCTCAGATAATGGCCTTGGCAGCTCAAAGTTGTCCCCGGGCAAGAATATTACTGGAGAGTATGGTTGATGACTCTTGGCTATGGATGTGTCCCATTGGAGAATATACATCCAGGGGTGGGGGGGAAGACCAGGGTCAAGGGGAAAATGAGTGATGTATTTTAGCGTCAGCTGCGCCCAGCTAACGCTGACATGGTCACTCCTAATAAATCAAATTTTTTACTCTGAGATTTGAATGGGGGTGGCAGCTTGCTACCCCACTACAATGAATCTAGAAATCTCCATAACTGATTAGTGGGGGAAATCATCTTGCTCTGCGGAAATTGTGCAGCTTTTTTTAATCGTTACTTCCCCAAGTTTTTTATACCCACTTCCTTCCTTTCGGTGCTCAGTTCTTCGATCAGGCTCAAGTACTGTACACCTACGAATCTCCGGCTGGTTATGGCTTGATTGCTTTGCAGTTTGTGGCTTACATCTGGTTCTGCTACGCGATACTCATCACTCTCAAGCAATTCCCGGAGAAACAACCTTTCTACGTGCCATTCTTTGCTGCTTATACCCTTTGGTCAGTAAGTTTAGAAGATTAACAGGGCAGGAAAAATATTTTTTTGGTGGGGGTCCTGTCAAAAGGTATTAATTTGTTCATTAAAATTTATATGCTGCCTGTCTCACTCTCTCTCGAGTGACTCCAGGAGACTTACAATAGTATAAAAACATGAAGGCATTAAAATCTTTGATAACACATAAATAAAAGATTAAGTAACTGAATATGAAGAGCCGTGGTGGCGCAGAGGTTAGAATGCAGTATTGCAGGCTAATATTCTGCCGACTGCTAGCAGTTCAATCCAGACCAACTCCAGGTTTATTCAGCTTTCCCTCCTTCCGAGGTGGGTCAAATGAGGACCCGGATTGTTGGGGTCAAGAGGCTGACTCAGTAAACTGCCTAGAGAGGGCTGGAAAGCACCATGAAGCAGTCTATAAGTCTAAGTTCTATTGCTATGTCCCAGTTCCACCATTGTTATGTTGGCTGCTAGAGGTCCCTCCATGAAGGCTTAGTTGTTAGTTTAAGGCAGTGTTTCTTAGCCTTGGCAGCCTTAAGATGGGTGGACTTCAACTCCCAGAATTCCCCAGCCAGCATGTAAACACAGGAACTGGCCATCAGTCACTTGTTTCAGTGCTGTTGTAACTTTGAATGATCACGAAATGAACGGATGTTAAGTCAAGGACCATTTGACACGAAGTCTAATGCTTAAGGCAGGAAGATCTGCATCCTTAGCCAGCGTCTTGTTCTTGTGTAGGTTTTTTGCCGTCCCGGTCACCGCGCTTATCGCTAACTTTGGCATACCAAAATGGGCTCGGGAGAAAATAGTCAACGGCATTCAACTAGGGATTCATTTCTACGCTCACGCGGTTTTCCTGGTAAGAATTTTCACATCACCTAAAATTTTTAATTCCTGTGACAGGCCTTTTCTCACCCCGCCCCTCCAAGATGGCGGCATGCGTAGACACTGTGGCTTTGAGCTCCTGGTGTCATAGTGGGGTGTGTGGGCGTATTATTCATGTTGTCTTGTATTCTTGCACAGACTGCACCAGTAGAGGCTAAACCCGTGATGGCAAACTTATGGCACGTGTGTGCACACAGAGCCATTTCTGCGGGCACGCAAGCCCCAGCCAAATTTACCTGCACTGCGCATGCGTGCACCTCCCAGCTGATTTTCGGCCTGTTTGAGCCGTTTTCGCCCTTCCAGAGGCGAAAGCCTCTGCTGCCTCGGAAGGCCGAAAAACGGGCCTTCTGGAAATACCAGAAATGCCGAAATGGGCCCGTTTTTTTGGCCTCCGGAGTCTGCAAAGGCTTCCCTCGAGCCTCCGGGAGGGTGAAAACAGCCTCAAACGGGCCAAAAATCAGCTGGGGGGCACATGCATGTGCAGTGCAGGTAAGAGGGCGAGGCGGGGTGTTGCGCGCACATGCATGGACGGGAGCATTGCATTGTGGGTGCCGACATGCACGTGCGCTTTCGGCACACCACAACAAAAAGGTTCGCCATCACTGGGCTAAACCAATTTCGTTTTATGCATGGTGTACAATGACAATAAAGGCTTTGGACTTTGAACTTTAATGCTCAGAAACAGTGGCTCGGATGCTCAGCACGTTGGGCTAAACTGAAATGGGTTTGGGCAGCTTATGTTTTAGAGTAGAGGATCTTCTCCCCCTCCCCCCCCCAACCTTTGGAGTACCAGGGACTGGTTCTGTGGAGAGAGGTTTTTCCATGGACTGAGGGGTGTGTGGTTTCATGTGCTGCCTGCATCCCACGGATGGGGCTTCGCTTGCTTGCGTGGCCCAGTTTCTGGCATGCCCTGGACCCGTGCCAGTCCATGGGGACCCCTGATCTAGGGACTTGGGGTTGTCTTAATGTCCTGTTGTCTTAATGTGCTGTTGAGGCAGGCCTTTGTGCTAAGCTGCAATTTATTTGGACATGTTATGTGTAGATAGCAATTGAGAAACTGAGTTTAGTGTCTAACCAGGTTATGGTTGTCTCAAATATGCTTTTTCAAGAGGCAACTTATTTTTCTTTGAAGACGTTTCGCTTCTGATCCAAGAAGCTTCTTCAATTCTGAAGCTTCTGAAGATTTTTCACTTCTGATCCAAGAAGCTTCTTCAGTTCTGAAGCTTCTGAAGACATTTTGCTTCTCATCCAAGAAGCTCCTTCAGTTCTGAAGCTTCCGAAGATGTTTCGCTTCTCATCCAAGGAAGCTTCTTTAGTTCTTCAGAATCTTCAGAACGGAGGAAGTTTCTTGGATCAGAAGTGAAATGTCTTTCAAAGAAAACCGAGAAAGTCCAGTTGCCTTTTGCAAAAGAAAAGGCACTTTTGGGACAGATTGTGTTTTAAGTTGTGTGAATCTAGCCAGTTGCAGACTATCCATCAAAACGCTGATGAAATAGCTTGCTGGAGAAGGAAGAAGAAAGAGGAAGGTGACTTTTTTCCACAGAGGAAGAAGGACTTGCCATCGGAAACGTGGTGGCTTCATCCGGCTGTTCTCTCGTCCTCCTTCCTTTCCACAGATTATAACCAGGCCCTCGGCCGCCAATAAGAACTTCCCGTACCACGTGAGGACGTCACAGATTGGGATCGTCGAGGAGGCGGCCACGGGGGCCAAATTTCCGCACCACGTCTACGGCAACGTGACGTTCATCAGTGACTCGGTGCCCAACTTCACGGAGCTGTTCTCCATCCCCCAGAGTACGGGAAGCAACACCAGCAATGTGAGAATTGGAGAGGGTCCCGTCTGAGCCTCCCCTTCCTTAAATGGTTAGGACATTAGAGCTGACCAAACAAAACACCTTTGTGGAATTGCACATGATGTCCTTAGGTGGCCCCCTTTTTTTTTTTTTATAAACATGGGATAGAACAGGGGTGCTTAAATCCGGCCCCGTGGAAATAGGAAATGAACCGGCCTGCGGTGCCTCTGGCGGCTAAAATGCCCCCTCCGCGCCTTGTTTTTTTACCCTCCAGCCTCCTGCAGCGCTCTGCTGGCCAAAAATGGGCCATAAACAGCAGCAAATATGGGCCAAGAAAGCCAGAAAACAGGCCCAAAATGGGCTGAAAAATGGGCCCCAAACAGGTTGAAAATAGCTCAAAAACTGGGGCCCAAACAGGCTGAAAACCAGGCCAATAATGGCAAAAAAAAAAAAAACAGCCCAAAAACTGTCCATGCCAAACCCCCGGCCGCCAGCCCGCAGAGGAGAACTATAATTCTGATCTGACCCTCGAAGAAATCCAGTGTGAAACCCCTGGTGTACAGAATAAGAAAGGTGATCTAGTTAGAGATACGCACATTCTTCTCTGGTGAATCTCCATCAATGTCATCTTCCTTACTCTCTACAAATGGTTGCTTGATTCTCAAAAACAGGGATCTCCAAATCTGGCAACTTTAAGACTTGTGGACTTCAGCTGGCTGGGGAATTCTGGGAGTTAAAGTCCAACAAGTCTTAATGTTGCCGAGTTTGGAGACGCCTCCTCCGAAGGACCGCTGCTTATTCTGCCTCTGCTGTCCCATAAGCCTCGTCCAGGCCAGAGGCAGCAAACTCTGGGTTTCTATCCCTGAGGACATAACAGATAATCCAAGGGTGACTTTGACCAGAAGTCAAAGAGAGGTCACTGCAGATAGCTTTTTTTTCTATCCTTCTGTCCTTCTTTCAAACCAATGACATCTTTTGCAAGGATGACATCTCTACGGTTCTGCAATGGTTACCTTTCTCATCTGTGTCTTATCCTTCCACGTTTCCCTGCCTAGCTGAGATGCTAGCCATAGCCATAGCACTTAGGTTTATATAACTGCTTCACACAGTGCTTTACAGCCCGCTCTGAGCTGTTTACAGAGTCAGCATATTGCCCGTAATAATCTGGCTCCTCATTTTAGCGACCTCGGAAGGATGGAAGGCTGAGTTAACCTTCAGCCAGTCAGGATCAAACTACTGGCGATCGGCAGAGCTAGCCTGCAATTATGCATCCCAACCACTGTGCCACCATGGCTCTTGCTAAGGATTCTTGTTGCCATATAATCCAAAAACTGTAGGCAGATCGCCCCCTTCCCTTCAGGGTTTGCCCAAAGTTATAATATTTAGATCTTCCATCTAGGCTAGCTTCATAATCCAAAAGGCTGTAGAGGAAAGGATGGGTATAGAGCAGGGGTCTCCAACCATGGCAACTTTAAGACTTGTAGACTTCAATTCCCAGAATTCCTCAGCCAGCAAAGCTGCCTCAGGAATTCTGGGTCCACAACTCTTAAAGTTGCCAAGGTTGGAGAGCCCTGGTGTAGCTTACCCAGCCTGCAACTTGCAAACTTAAAGGTGATAACGCCAAGGATACAACTGGCAACGTTTGTGGGATGACAATGTCATAAGGCACTTGTGATTGTGACGTAATGGACAACTATGCACACACTGTATCTCCACTTAGCTTATGAGGTTTCATGGCGTATATATGGCACCATCACACAGAACAAGTGGACTCCTTTCTCCATGCACTAGAGTAGGTGTAGAGTTTGCTACCTTCCACACCTTCCACACTGACATAGTTCTACATTGCTTTTGCACTCAGAATAACAGAGTTGGAAGGGACCTTGGAGGTCTTCTAGTCTAACCCCCTCCGGCTCAGGCAGGAAACCCCATACCGTTTCTGACAAATAGCTCTCCAATCTCTTCTTAAAACCCACCAGTGTTGGAGCACTCACAACTTTGAGAGGTGAGTGGTTCCTATTCTGTCCTGTCTCATGCACAGAGGTGGATTTGTGGCTGTGCAGATGCAGACAGATAATTCCACAAAACATCCATAACAAAGTACATTTATTGGTACATCAGGTATCTTCATAACTCACATTTGCAACGAAGCTCTTCTATAATGACCAGTCCTTTGTATATCAGCATTGCAGGTAAAAGATGGTTATTTTCCTAACCCATCTTGTAGCGGTAAGCTGCTTATCAGTTCATGAGTCCAGGCAAGAATGGAGGATACCTCCCTCAGCCCCTCGAGGGTCAATTTAGTGACCAATCAGGATTACAGATGTAGCCACGTGACATGAACTACATTTCCCAGGATACCTTTAACTACATTTACCATGATGTCCTTAAGAGGACAGCTCATAATTCCTAAGTAACTATCCAACTCCCACAGACTGGCTGGGACAGCACAGTTCCACTGATGAATTGTTCTCATTCTTATGAGTTCTTGTTCCCTTTGGTTTGGCTATGCCATGCCAGACCAATCCGATCTCCCTGCAGACTGCCAAGGGTGCTGCTGTAGCTTGTGATGTCAGAGTAATTCATTAATTTGATCTAATGAATTTTTAAACCTGCTTGCTGGATAAATGAGTCTCCCTTGCCAGTTTACAGCAGTCAGCAAAACAATATGATAATAAGGTTACACAAAGGCATCCGCTTAAATTTTTATTTCTTTTTTTAAAAAAAGGCCATAACTCAGATCAAAGAAGAAGCGAAAAACATCCACAACGAATAAAACGTTAAATTAGGCCAGCCTGCTAAAAAAAGAAAAGAAAAACCAGCACAAGTGTTCTGACCTAGGCTTCCCTAAAGCATGAATCCAACTCCTCGTCCCGATAAAACTTCTTTTATTTAGGTTAAAATGAATCCCCTCTCCAGCAAAGTCCCAGCAAACAGTCTTTCATGAGATTTCACAACTACAGACCTTTATTAGGCTTGGAGAATTGCCAGGCCGATAGCTTCCAAACATCATGCTATAGCAGCAATTACTTGCCCTTACTCCCGAGTCGACCTTTGTTCTTTAACTGTTCCCTTCTCCCGGCAGCTCTGTGCATGTGCACACTGGGAACAGGCTCCAGCTGTTCTTCTGCCCCACTGATCTCCAACTCCAAAGGCAGCTGATAACTGTCAGACGGTCCTGGCCCCATCTCTGCCTCTGATGCAGAGCCCTCGTCAGAGCCTTCCCCAGACTCCGGGACTGGCCCAGGTTCCTCCCCAACCTCCCCACTCTCCGAGTCTGCCGCCAGCTCCACTGGCAGGCCACAACAACAAGTCAAACCCACCTGGAATCGAAAGACAGTTCAAGGTGGCAGGATAATGTTCAGTTGTTCGACCTGCGTCCCTCCACGTCCCTTGATCTTATTGCTTTAGATTGGGGAGAGGAGGAAAGGGTGACAGAGACCATGGTTCTTTCTTTCCTGCCGGTGTTTATTTGGACTTTCTGCCTACTTTTTCCTCCTGCAGACCCGCAAGCAAATGGAAGACACCTCTTCTGCCGATCGTAGCCTGACCTCTAACTGCGTGGTCACTACCTCTGAGCTCAGCGGTGCCCCTGTGCTGTTGAAGCCCTCCCTGGGGAGCGAGACTCAGCCTCCGCCCTACCAACTCCATGCGCCCCAACTACACCAACATAACGGCTACACCGAGTATTTTAGCATGCATACAACCGGCGCTCGGCCCGTCTAAGGGTCCCTTGACTCTCCCTCTTGGCTAGACCGATTCCCATCTTGACTTTTTCTGGGCTTCCCTCTCTGGGCCTCACCCCCATCTTGGTTTTTCTCCTGGGACCCCTTTCACCTGTGGCATCTTCCCCTTTTGTCCAATCCTATCTTTCTGGGATCCTGCAACGATACCAGGAAGACAAGATTGGGTGGGTGGGTTCAGCCCTACTTTCCCCGCCACCTCCTGGCTCCTCCGCTGTGACCCAATTAGTCTGTAGGTCATATCTGGTCCTTCCCCCATGGGACAGTCTTAAGCTTTCCCAACCCCTCTGGGGTTGCTTCTGTGAGGGGAAGCCAAGCATTGAATGAACATGGGTGGAAATTCTCTTCGAGTTCACTCAGAGCAGGGGTGTGCCACTTTTACGATCTGTGGACTTCAACTCCCAGAATTCCTCAGCCGGCACAACCGCCTCAGGAATTCTGGGAGTTGAAGTCCACAGGTCGTAAACTTGGAGTGACAGGCCTATCTTCGGCTGACTTCTTCCTGTAGACCAGTGTTTTTTCCAACACTGATAACGAGTGGGCTTCAACTCCCAGAATTCCCTAGCTAGCATGGCCAGCTGGAGAATTCTGGGAGTTGAAGTCCATACGTCTTAAAGTTGCCAAGGTTAGAAACACTGCTGTAGATCAAGATCATCTAGTTTTCCTCAGCCGCCATTGTGATTCAGTGGTTTTCCGGTCTGGATCCCACAATGAGGAACCAGATTTGCCTTGTAATTATATCTCCATGTTACATGACTGCATATGAACATTTTTTGGTCCACTTTTTTTTTTCTGCTACCTTGTGAAGATAGTTTGAATCTTCTAGGTCCCTCTGTCCTGGTTCCCCAGGGTAATTATGTTGTTCCTGTTAGTTCCTAGGAACTAAGTTACCCTGTGGTAAGATGAGCAGCCAATAAATTTGATAAATAAATAATAAACTAAAACGAAGGTGCTGTGGGTTCTGCTCCCTGATCATGGTGAATTTCTGAAAACCACAAGAGCACGTTTTTGCTTCCACCCCCCTTTTCTTTTGCCAAAATAAAGAGTATTCTCATGTTTCTATTTCACTGCGAAAGCATGTGACTCTTTCAGGGAAACATCTGCTTATAAAAGGAGGAAGAGATACCTGAACATGGAACATTTCTATTCTTTTTTTTTCTGGTAAAATTGCCTGTTGACCACAGAAGCTGACGATGTAATATACACTTCGCTTTCTTCCTTGGGATAATCTACAAAACTTATAGAACCAAACCTTTTTTTTTGTTAATGTGACACAGCAATCAGATAAGGATCCGTGGAAATGATAGTTCTGTGAAAGGATGAGATAGTTTCTTAATCTATTAAAGTAGCTTTTTTTTTTTAAAAAAAGGTGGAATTTTGTAACGAGACATGCTTAGTTCAAAGCAAATCAGTGCTTTTATTCATACATCATCACATTACCAACAACATACATTGTTGGTTGATTTGAAGTGATTTAAGGCAACCCACCTTCAGAACAGCATTCGCTATAAAGAATAAAAAATACAACAGTGAACGAAAGTATATGTGTTGGACACAAATGCCTTTAACGCACTGCTTTTTAACCTTGGGAATTTTAAGACAGGTGGACTTCAATTCCCAGAATTCTCCAGCCATCCATGTTGGCTAGAGAATTCTGGGAACTGAAGTCCACTCATCTTACACGTCATTAGCATGCTGGCTGTGGGATTCTGGGAGTTGAAGTCCATATGTCTTGAAGTTCCCAAGTGTGGAAAACTTAGCTTTAGCAGCATCATTATATATATAGTACTGCAGAGAAGGGATCAGAGGTGGTATTCAGCAGGTTCTGAACAGTTCTGGAGAACCGTCAGTGAAAATTTGGAGTAGTAGTTCGGAGCCGCCTCTGACTGGCCCCGCCCCCATCTCTTCTCTGCCTCCAGAGTCCCAGCTGATTGGCTGGCCCACATTTGGTGCCCTGCGCAAGAGAACGGAGCTGGAAAGCAGGTTAGTGGGGTGGGGAGGGAATGGGGATTTTGCAGTATCTTTCCCCTGCCATCAAGCCACGCCCACCAAGCCAAGCCACACCCACAGAACCGATAGTAAAAAAACAAAAACGAATCCCAACCACTGGAAGGAATCATACTGGTTTTCAAGTGTTTCTGCTGACTTTATGAAGCTGATGGATTGAATTTTTTGTCAATATCCATGGGAAAATCAGTATCTCAACGATGTGCCTCTTTTTTCTTCTCAGAGCTCTGCAAAGCAAAATATTTCCATTCTGTGGTGCCTCTACTGAGGTGTGTAGATCACACTCATGCCATCATTAAAACGTTTCCTCCAGTCAGCCACAAAATAGCACTATTCAGAGGTGTCTGATGCCAGCTTTGCAAAATGCCACCTGATTAGTGTGGCATGAATTGGTAAGAATAGACTATCTTCTCACCGGCAGCTGCACTTGCTTGAACTTTTAATTTCAGAAAGTAGCTCATTTATCATATAATCACAGGTGGAAACTTTACAATTTTGTAGTGTGGTCTAGAAAAAGTAGCGGAATGCAGAAATACCAGGAACACATCAGCAGATCTCATCCATATAGCTTAGAGGCAGAAGCATCCAAGCACCTTTAACTAGTAGCCTAAAATCTTCTGCGTTTGGACAAGCTCTTTACGGGTCCTCCATCTCCCGCACATTTGAGTTCTTTGCAAATGAACACTGTAAACGGTGAAGATGTTTCCCCGAACAACTTTTTAAAAATATATATTTATCCTGCATTTTTTAATAAATAACTTGAGGCAGCAAACATACCTAATACAGGTAATCCTTGACTTATCTCCAGAGATGAACCCAAAAAATTCCACTGCTGAGTTTCCATTGATAGTTGTGTTGTGGTTCGCCGGCAGCAGGTGTGGACGGCTGAGGGCTCGGAGTGGGAGGACTCAGATGAGGGGCCTATGTGTGATGCAGGGATGGGGCCAGGACCATCTGGGAGTGGAATGCTGCCTTTGGAGATTGTGGAGGCTGGCAGAGTGATGAAGAGGTCCCCAAGGAGCCCGTGCCCAATGCACGTGCACGCAGGGCTGCTCAAAGGAAAGAGCAGCTGCAGCAACACAGGCGACTCGGGAGTAAGGCTGCAAGGTAATGGCCCCTCCCTGAGGAGATAAAAACCAGCTGAGAAACTGCAGTTTTTTGCAGAAGGCAAAGAAGTTTTACACTAGAGCCTAGTGGACACTAGAAATATCCGAGTTGGTGTTTGGAGACTCTTTGGTTTGAATTATTGCTTAGTAACTTTATCTGGTGTTCTTGGCAGCCTTGCAAAAGCTTGGCAAGGCTCTTTCTTATCGGAGCTAATTGGGTTGAAGCAACCTTTTAACCGTGAAGGAACGGGATTCGTAAAGAATCATTAAAAGATTGTGCTGTTGCCTTTGTCTTGTGTTTGCTTCCTTGGAACCAGGTTTGGGTCAGAACAAGTTGAGATTTGTCTCATTTTACAACCTTTCTTGCCACAGTTGTTAAGTGAATCAGTGCAGTTAAGTTAGTAACACAGTTGTTAAGTGAATCTGGCTTCCCCATTGACTTTGCTTGACAGGTCGCAAAAACTGATCATATGACCTCGGGACATTGCAACCGTCCCGAATACATGCCAGTTGCCAAGTACCTGAATTTTGATCACCTGACCATGGGGAGGCTGCAATGATCGTAAGTGCGCGAAAACGGTCGTAGGTCTCTTCAGTGTGGTTGTAACTTTGAACGGACACTAAATGAATGCTTGTACTCCTTCCTCCTCCTCCTGCTTGAATTGTCATCAAGCTTTCGATCCTGCATTGAATGTTGGGGCCCACCTCACCGGGTTCTTGTTATAGGGAAATAGGAAGAAGTATTAGATATGTTTGCTGTGTTATTTATATATATATAAAAAAATAAAGGTGGGAAATTTTTTTTTTTAAAAGAACAGTATGCAGAGAACACATTGTAGCCGAAATATAAATGCTTAAAATGTGGGAAGCCCTGGGTTCCGCTTTTTTCATCTTCATTTAAGAGTTGTGGAAGCCATTCTGGTCCCTTGGAAAAGCGGCGGCTGTTATCCAACACAAAGACACAACTTTATCCCCTGGACCATCCTTTATCTGCGTTGGCAAAAGAAAATACATCGTGTAGCAGTTTCATGGGTGAGAAGGATGGAAACGATCAGAGGAAGGCAGAAAATAATCCTTTAGGTATAATAAATTGTAGGGAGGCGGTGGCTCAGCGGCTAACACGCTGAGCTTGTTGATCAGAAAGAAAGGTTGGCAGTTTGGTGGTTTGAATCCCTAGTGCCGCGTAATGGAGCGAGCTCCCGTTACTTGTCCCAGCTTCTGCCAACCGAGCAGTTCAAAAGCATGTAAAAATGCAAGTAGACAAATAGGTGGAAAGGTAACAGCATTCCATGTGTGCCTTTGAAGGTGTTTAGTCATGCCGGCCACATGACCATGGAGATGTCTTCAGACAGCGCTGGATCTTTGGCTTTGTAACGGAGATAAGCACCACCCCCTAAAGCTGGAAACGACTAGCACGGATGTGTGAAGGGAACCTTTACCTTACAATAAATTGTACATATTGTAGCTGGCTGAGGAATTCTGGTATCAACCCTTTGCAAAAAGTGATTGGAAAAAAATTGGGGCAGGTTCCCTGACTTTCCTCCTTTTCTACATCCAAATTGATAAAGCAGCCTCCTCCTCCAAACTGTGGCTGCCAGAGGGGCCTTGAAACCCCTCAAGGCTGAGTCGGTTGGGGGATAATGGGGTTTGTAGTCTCTGGTCTTTGTGCAGGAACTGACAGCTGGGAAGGTAGCGCTTGGTCAAGGGGAAGAGTGGGGGGGCTACTCTGACTGGGTCAGAACATCACACATTTCACCCCACTACAGTGTTTCGCAATCTTGGCAACTTGGAACATGGGTGGACTTCCAACTCCCAGAATTCCCCAGCCAGGGAATTCTGGGAGTTGAAGTCCAGCCATCTTCAAGTTGCCAAGGTTGAAACAAGCTGCTGTAAAGCTATCCGTACCTCCTCCTCGCACGCTCTAGCCTTATCATCTCTATGGCTTCCCTTTCCATAGAGATGAGGAGACCTCCGTACCTCACTCGCAACCGCTCTGGGCTCTCGTCTCGATGCCCCCTCGGTCCCGGACTGGCCTCTACATGGGCCGCGGGGGCAGCGGAGCCGCTCTCGGCTACGGAGGTGGGTCGAGAATTTGGGGAGATCCCCTTTAGCCCCCCACCCCATTAAACCCCATTGCGAGCCGCGATTATCAATGGGGAGCCGGGCCTCAGGCTTCACTCCCGGGTCCTCCGGGTGGGCTCTTTCTTCGCACAGCCCTCGCGCTTCCCTGGAGATGCGGGGTTCGCTGCATCGCTTGCCGGGGCTCCCCTACTGGTCCCTGCTTTCCCTTCGGTCCGTTTGACCCGGCCTCGATCCCCTGAAGACGTCCGGATCCCCCGCCCCACCTCAGTACAGGGATCCCTTTCTTGGAGTCCAGTGTTGTGTCTTTTTTGAACCCTGCTGGTTTCTTCCTGCCTTTGGGTTAATGTAGATTTTTATCTGTATCTATATATTTGTCTGATTGTCTGTCTGTCTGTCTATCATCCATCCATCCATTCCTGTTTCGTCCATCTGCCATCCAGCCACTCATCCATTGTTCTATCTATCTATCTATCTATCTATCTATCTATCTATCTATCTATCTATCTATCTATCTATCTATCTATCTACATCTTCTATCCATCATTCTTCTCTCTCTCTCTCTATCTCAATCTTCTATCCATCATTCGTCTGTCTGTCTGTCTGTCTGTCTATCTATCTATCTATCTATCTATCTATCTATCTATCTAATCTATCATCTATCATTTATCTCTATCATCTGGTATCTTCTATATAATTATCTATCTATCTATCTATCTATCTATCTATCTATCTATCTTCTATCCATCATTCGTCTGTCTATCTATCTATCTATCTATCTATCTATCTATCTATCTATCTATCTATCTATTAATCTATCATCTATCTCTATCATCTACTGGTATCTTCTATATAATTGTCTGTCTGTCTATCTATCTATCTATCTATCTATCTATCTATCTATCTATCTATCTATCATTTGACTGTGAGATGCATAGCATGCCTTTATTTCAAAAGCTTGAGGCAGCCCAAATAATGTGTCCTTCTTTCCTATGACAATACCCCTGCAAGGTAGGCTGGGCTGAGAATGAAAGAAGGAGGGATTGGCTCAAAAGTCAGCCAGGGAGGATTCACACTGGGGGCTCACCAAACCCGATCCAGCCCTTGTGCCAGCCTGACCTTCAGGTACCCCGAAACAAGAGAGGTCAGACAGTTTATTAGGTATGGAGGGAATTGCATTTAAATTGTTTGAAGGACACATATGAAGGCATGGAAAGTGTAGGCTTTCTAGTTCTCTGTTAAAGCTGGCACACCTTTCTTAATTTAAAAAAAAGAGGGAGTTTTGCCTAGCGGGCATCCATAAAAACTAGAAAAGTGGGAGGGAGTTGTAATTAAAAGGTTGTTAAAATGTCTTCATTTTCATGTTACGTTTCTTTTCCAACCATGGTCCGTTGAGAGCATGTATTGCCATTGCAGAATTGTGTTTTAAGTTCTTTGGTGTAAATGGGCTGGGAAAATAATGAATTATTTAGTTTAATTAACAAGTTTTTTTAAAAAAATGGTAACAATTTGTTCATTTTTCATTCTTGTGGATTTTCTGTTCCTCAACCCAGCTGTATTGAGAAAATAAATTCCTTGTCTGCTTCATGTTCTTTCCTTATTACTATCTAGCAGAATTTTAGAGCACAGGCAGTGGTTGAAAAGAAAAGAACCAAACTCAAAATGGAAAATGATATTTACACTGAGTCTTCAACCATTATAAAATTGAGCGGTTTCTAAAGAGAATAGATTGGCATCTAATAGCAAAGAAAACAGACTGCATGACTTAGGGCCTGTCTTCCTCTCTCAGCCTAACCCACCCAACAACAGGGTTGTTGTTGTGAGGAAAAAGAGAAGGAGGAACGAATATTATGTATATTCACCACCTTGAGTTACTTTTAATGTAATAAAGGCGGGATAAAAATCAAATAACACCTCTTAACACATCTGCCTATCTCAGATCCTTGGGCAGGCCTCAAAAAGTGGATAAAATCTAGAATCTGGCTGATTCTGTGAGGAACCATAATTATATTTATCCAGTGTAAGAATGCAGGATATTGAATATATTTTTTTCTGTATTTCTTCCTCAACCATGGCTGGACACTGATACCCCATTTAATTTTTTCAGCTATATCAGGGATCCTCAAACTTGTCAACTTTAAGACTTGTGGACTTCAACCTCCAGAATTCATAGCTGTCTGGAGAATTCTGGGAGTTGAAGTCCACAAGTCTTAAAGTTGACAAGTTTGAAGACCTCTAAGCTATATTAACCAAACATCCTTTTGGATTACAGGGAGATCCAAAGACCATCATGGACCTCCTAAAATCCAGTTGTTTAAAGCTGCTGGTTCTGCTGCCCCTTGCTCTGTGCGGGATCCATCAAACCTATGCCGGTGATTGTAAGGGACGCCGCGAGGTGCTACGCAGCACTTCTGGCTACGTGACGGATGGACCTGGCAACTACTCGGTCAACGGCAACTGTGAATGGCTGGTGGAGGGTGAGCATTTGAAGAAGTATAGTGGGTGATGATGGTTTAAGGGAGGAGGCTGCAAATCAAGGCATTTCACCCTCTAGGGAACATCTGTCGAGGCATAAACGCTGTCCCCGATTGGGCAATCTTGAGAGTTAGTGACAGGAATCAGCACAAATCGTACTAGGAGACTACGAAATAAAACAATATAAATTGTAAAGCTATAAGCAACAAAGTTATAGTCATATAGTCATCATAACTGACCTTCTTTCTTCTTCTTTGTAACTTCTGAATGATCACTAAATGAACGGTTGTAAGTCAAGGACTCCCCGTAACTCGCTTTCTTAAGATTGACTGTGTTGCACACTGTTGATCCTGGGATCAGAGTTCTAAGCTTTCTTTTTCCTGTATGTTTCAGCTCCTAGCAGCAGCTACCGTATCCTCTTGACCTTCATGTTTATGGACACGGAATGCACGTATGACTACCTCTTCATTTATGACGGAGATTCTCCCAGCAGCCCTTTGCTGGCCAGCCTGAGTGGCAGCACTTTGCCCCCTACCATCGAGGCCACCTCGGGCAAGGTACGGTAGCCCAAATGGTGGGAGATTCTTTCTTTACGGTTCAGTTCGATCGTTTCTTCCAACCTTGGAACTGAATGGCTCTGTTCTGTCATTCATCATTATCATTATTTAATGACCCTACTATAATCCCTTGTGGGGTGGAGTCTGGGCAACCAAATGGAGTTAGCAGAATATTTACTGGCCAGATGCCCTTCCTGTCACCAGTGTGGAGCTTTGTTCTATCCTCATTGTGCCCAGAGACAGAAATATCAGCCTCTGCCTAGGATCAAACTCACAGCCTCCTGATTGTGAGGCGAGAGCTCCACCTCTAGGCTACTGCACCACTCTCTCTATTCTCCTATCGTTGACACACTTAAATCAAGATGAAGTCATTATGCAAATGACATCTCACTTTGCATGCATGCATTATGCAAATTGCATCATTTGCAAGGTGACATCACAACCTAGGGGAGGCCTCCTCCATAGAAGCTCGTCTCAGCCAGTCACAGGGAGTCCTCAACATACGACCACGTCCGAGTCCAGATTTTCCGTTACTAAGTGAGAGGGTGGTTAAGTGAATTTTGCTCCATTTTAAGACCTTTCTTGCTGCAGTGCCCAACTTCACTGCAATATCCCCGCAATCACCTAATTCAAATTCAATTGCTTGCCAACTGACTCATCTTTCTGACGGTTGCTGTGTCTCCAAGGCTCGCATGATCCCCTTTTGTGACCTTCTGGCAAGCAAAGCCAATGGGGGAAACCTGGTGGACTTAGCAGCGTTACTAACCTAACCCCCGCAGTGATTCGCTTAACAACGGGGGCAGGAAAGGTTGCAAAATGGGCCAGAGTTCCCTCAATGGTCTCGCGTAGCGATAGGGATTTGGGGCTCAATTGCAGCCGTACATCAAGGACTCCCCGCCCTGCAAAGCACTTGAAAAAGACACACATGGAAAGGAACACAGCTTGGATTGGAGAATCCAAGTTAGTCCATTGTTGTGATGACTCGGGGCGTGGCACAAAAGCTACACAGTCAGTAGGAGTCCCTTTATAGCTCCAAGTTTGCCCCCAATGTCCTGGTTACCTTCTGGGCTGGAGAAAAACTCCCAGGAACAGCCTTTGGCTTCAGAGAATCAAATCCAAAACATGGTCAACACAAACTGTAACTATTAAGTCCAAACAAGGCAAGATGAGGTAATTAGTCCGGCAGGGCAGGAGCAAGAATTCCAGACATGAAGGAACGGCCATAATTCAACATGGTTGGGAGGATACCAGGAAGGCAGATAACCAAAGTCAACACAAGATAAACTCAAGCTTGTTCCCAGCAGACGGCGCACTCAGCTTGCATCTCTTTTAAACTCTCTTCCCAGCTCTGGCTAATGAAGGGAATCAGGGCCCTTTCCTTCCCCGTAAGCCATGCAACTCACATTGCTCCCTTCTCCGTTCCTCCCTGCATGCCCTAGGATGAAGATGAGGTGGGCCTGGGTCTTCCTTTGAACTCCCTCTCCCTTGTTCTATCTCTCCCCTGCTCTGCCCAGCCGGACTTTTCCCTTCCCCAGTTTCCTCCACAGCCAAGGAGTCACCCTCCCATTCCCTGTCAACTGTTTTTCCCCCTCAGATTCAGACTCCGACAGGGGCATGTTGACACCAACTTGGGAGTACTCCTTCCTTCCTACTTTACAGATGCTGTTACACCTCTTCAGTGACGCCAACTACAACCTGCTGGGCTTCAATGCGACTTACTCTGTCTCACTGTGTCCCATGGGCTGCTCGGGTCATGGCATTTGCGATAACGATGGGCGTTGTGCCTGCTTCCAAGGCTGGGGTAGCAAGGACTGCTCGGTCCCTGACTGCAACACGTATTGCCAGAATCATGGCACCTGTAACCAGGTAAAGAGATGGTCCTTTTGTGCCTCAATGAGTCATTGATTTATCATAAGGGTGCATTCCCATCACGTTTCGACAACAACACAAGAGCTTAAAATATACAATATGAGATATAGAATTGTCAGAGTGCACACCGTGTGACTTTGTGAAACAATCCAGGAGCAAATACAGTAAACAGAGATTTGTATTTAAATAGTGGTTTTATCTACCCTGTTTCCCCCAAAATACGACCTAACCTGAAAGTAAATCCTAGCTTGATTTTTATTTTTTTAAAAATATATTTTACAATAATTCCATTTCATTTCAACCGTGTGTTGACTGGGTACCTATATCTTGTGCTTACAATTATAATTAATACTTTTCTCGCCAATATAACAATAATCACATTTTCTTATAGCTATTATTTAATACATCTATTATTTTTAACCATCTTAACTTATTGCTCTATATATCCATCTAGTCCATTTTATTGTTTTATTTTCCAACCATTGATAAAATAAATCCCATGCCATATAATACTCAGTTTCTTCTTTTTCTTTGATTACCAGTGTTAACCTATTCATCTCTGCACATTCAAATATTTTCTCAATTACTTTTTCCTCTGTCGGGATCTTACCACTTTTCCAATTCTGAACAAATACAATTCTGTCTGCTATTAATGCATGTATAATTAAATAAGTTTTGTCTTTACTGTAACCTTCGGGTACTATTCCTAATAAAAATATTTCAGGTTTGATTTTTACACGTGTGCCCAATATAAGCCCTACCCTCAAAATAAGCCCTAATTAAGATCCCGCCCACTCCAGAGTGGACAGGTAAAAATTAAGCTAGGGTGGAGATGGAGGAGTAGAGCCACCCTACTACTTATCTTTGGACAGTTGTAGCCAGGCCTCACACATCCCGTCACCTGCCTTGCCAGCCCATTTCTTCTGCAGCCAGCAAGGCTGGCAAGGCTTTCCCGAAGGCCTCTGCAGCTGATAAGAAAGCTCCGGATCGATCCAGAGCTCTCTTATTGCCTGCAGAGGCCTTCAGAAAAGCCTTGCCGGCTGCAGAAGAAGAAGTTCCTGAAAGCCTCTAACAGCGAAAAGGAGGCCGGGGACGATGCGCGCAAGTGAGGTTAGTCAGTGGATGACACCCCTTGAAAATAAGACCTGGTGCCTTTTTGTGTGGCGAAAAAAAATAAGACAAGGTCTTATTTTCGGGGAAACAGGGTACAAAGAATATATACATGCACCTACTTTAGTCAGACCTCAAACAAACAGCAATTTACAGCATGGAAGCACAAGAGAGAAATATGTCTCAACAGGGCCTCTTTTTACTACGGGGCCTTAAAGTGATATCAGCCCAGTGGTCAGAATTTGAAAGAGAAGCTGCCCCACCTTGGTTGCATTGTGATGGAAGAACGCCACTGGTAACTTTTCCTTCTTCCTCCTGTAGGTATCACGACACTGCCAGTGTGAACTGGGATTTGTGGGTCAGGCCTGTGATTTAGCCTTGAGTGACAACCAAGGGGCTGGAAAGTGGTACAACGTCAGCATCCGAGATTCCAATTTCTGGCCCCGAACAGCAGCTGCCGGTGCTTTCCTACCTTCTACTGGGGGACTATACATTTTTGGAGGTGAGGAGCATCGCTTCTTATTTCTTTTTTTTTTTTTTCTGGTTTCAGGTGATCCTCAGTTTAGGACCGCAATAGAGTCCTGAAAGTTTGTTTTTAAGAAAGACAGTTAAGTCGGTTTTGCTTGATTTTACAAGCTTCCTTGTCACAGAGGGTTAACTGAATGACCGCAGTTAGTAACATGGTTGTTAAGGGAATCTGGCTTCCCCATGGAGTTTGCTTGTCAGAAGGTCTCAAAAGATGTTTACTGTCAACGGCCCAATGTTCTGCTAACCCATTGTCCCATGGACTGCGCAATCAAAATCTCACCGGGGTGATTCATCATCGGACGAAAGTGATCTGTTTTGTGGGCGGTGGGAAGAAAGCTATTCCTTACTTGTCTTCTCTTCTCTTAAAATATTATCTAGTTCAGTCAATTCTTTATAAAACCCATCCATCTTATTGTCTTTTTTCATATCTGGAATGTATTTGCATGTATGAATACCATTTCATATTCATCCCTTGTTCATCTAATTCTTGTTTTGTTTTGAGTTCACCCTTTGCATTCAAAACATCATTATATCTAACAATAGGTTCCATTTTAAAGACATTTGGATACACAAATGCCTTAACCAGACTGGTATTTTCAAATAGTGTTTTCCCGTTATTTTCTCCCACGTTGACAATAGAGCATTTTCGAGCATTTGTCCTGACATAATCTGTTAGTTGTATGCTTCCCATCCTGCTCCTAAATCTCATGACTTTTCTGTTTTCTTCCCCTTTAGGCTTGGATCTAAATACTGCTTTGGGGGACCTTGTCTTCTATAACTTCACCACCAATACTTGGCATCAGAGGGTGCTTAGCCCTTCCCCCGTAAGTGCCTTATGAGTTCCCCTCGTCTTGAAAAAAAGAACTTTGAACATTATGGGAAGGAAGAAAAGGCCCAGGTTATGTCTGAGATACTTAGGCATTCACCCCAAAAATTGCGGGTGAATTTAAAAAACTTTGTGCCACCAAGATACCAGGTACCTGCGAGTTCTAGTCTCACCTTAGGCATGAAAGCCAGTCTGGAGACTTTAGACCAGTGGTCCCCAACCTTTTTTGTGCCGCGGCCCGGTACCGGCATCACAAAATCATCCGCGGCCCGGTACCGGCATCAGCACGCATGACAAGGCAAGGCGAGCCGAGAGACCGGCCAGCCAGCTGTCCCCTGCTTCTCCCTGCCACCTTCAACTCCTCCTTTGTACCTGTGTCGATGGGCTTTGCGACGGCTTCGGGACAGTCGCTCGGCTCGCCTTGCCATGCGTGCTGAAAGAATCCTCGCGCCTTAGAAGCTGCCCCCCCTCAATGAAACTAAGGCGTGAGGATTCTTTCAGCACCCAAACGCCGCTTTCTACCCGGAAAAGCTCACCGGAAGCACTTTTTCATCAAAACAAGATGGTGGCGCCCAGCAAACCGGCGGCCCGGTAGAAATTGTTCCACGGACCGGTACCGGTCCAGGGACCGGTGGTTGGGGACCCCTGCTTTAGACTAATCACAAGGAGAGCGTGAGTTCTAATTCTGCCTTAGGTATGAAAGCCAGTTGGGCCAATAGCCAAGAGCCTATGACTTCTAGTCCTGCCTTAAGCATGAAAACTGGCTGGGTGAAATCATTGGGAGAAGGTGAATTTTAGTTTTGCCTTAGGCATGTGTGAATTCCAGTCGCGCCTTAGACACGAGAGCTGGCTGGGTGACTTTGGGCCAATCATCAGGAGACTGAGAGTTCTAGTTCTCGCCTTAGCTATGAAAACTAGCTGGGTGACTTTGGGCCAATCACCAGGAGAGGGTGAGTTCTAGTCCCACCTTAGGCATGAAAGCAGGCTGGGCCAGTCAACCAGGAGCCTGTGAATTCTAGTCCCGCCTTAGACGTGAAAATTCATTGGGTAATTTTCTTCATCACAACCCACAGGGTTATTGTTACGGGAAAAAATAGGAGGAGGGTGGTGTATAAAGTATGCTTGCTGCCTCAGTAACAATAATAAAGGTGGGGTTTTTTTAAAAAAAAAAAAGAATCTAAAAACAAACTGATCACCTTTTCATCTTTTTATTTCCAGACTGCTCGTCACTCCCACACAGCCGTGGCCTGGGAGGGCTCCCTCATTCTGTTTGGCGGAGAGCTGGCCACTGGGTCTCTGGCCAACGATGTCTGGATGTATCTGCCCCAGGAGGGCTACTGGCAGGAGCTGTTGCCCCTGAACACGACGATTCCTCCCGAGTTGGCCGGCCATGCATCTGCGGTGGTCGATGAATGGCTGTATGTATTTGGAGGTGAGTCGAAACCCCACCTGTGTAGTCCAGGTGTCCTTCTTCCAGGGGAAATGCCCCGTCATAGCAATAGCACTTAGACTTATGTACCGCTTCACAGAGCTTTACAGCCCCCTCGAGAGAGAGTCAGCATATTGCACCCCCCACCCCCCCACCCCAACAAATTATGTCCTCATATTTACTGACCTTGGAAGGTTGGAAGGCTGAGTCGACCTTGAGCCGGTAAGGATCGAATTCCAGGCTGTGGCCAGAATTAGTCTGCAATACTGAATTGATGGGTGGGTGATAGATAGATTAGATAGATAGATAGATAGATAGATAGATAGATAGATAGATAGATAG